TGTTGAAATCCTTAAAAATTAATAGAAGTTGTAATGTATGAAAGGAAAATTTGAATAAAGATAGAAAACTTAAACCAAATCATCTTGCATTTTAATCTAGAAATCATGCTAAAATCTAGAAGAAAAAAGTTTGAAAATTGAAAATGAATATGCGCTAGGCGATTTTTTTTGGGGCAAGCCATGTCTCTATCTGTGCGTGTAGAACTGATTTTTTCCTCTCTTTTTTGCTTTTCACTATTGTTAGACAGTTTCCCCCATGATCCCCGCTTCTGCCTCTGTAAAAATCTACATGAAGAGGGCTACGTTTGACTACAATTCTTTCCTCTCTAGCAACTAGTGGTTAACTCCAAATAAATCTCTAATAAAATCCAAACGAATCTTTCTAAAATCTCTCCACAATCTCCTAATTAGGTTAAACTTTAACCATCTTAAAAGGTATATCATATTTGGACTCTAATTACCCTATCATAATCCATTCAAAATTTAAGCCCAAAATCACCTTTAAACTCAACTCAGCCCATTACAAAATATATATATATATGGCCCAATTAGTCTTAAAGCACAAGTGACCTTTCTCTCTTTTAATTTATTTTAGGTGTAAATAATAACCAAAATGACCAAAACTCCAAAATTTTGGTTCTATTTAACAGTTAAAATAATAATTATGTTTAAGCCAAATTTAACCAAATCAAAATTTAGTTCGATTGTGATTAATGCCAAAAACCCAAAGAACTTGAAAAGAGGCATCAATTTAACCAAATTAGTAAAAAATATTGGTCTATCTAAAAAAACTAAACTGAGCCAAATTTTTTAGTACAAAAAGCAAAATTTAACTTGAATTTGTATAAAACTAAAAATCTTGGTTAAAACCAAATCGAACCATATTCAGATAAGCAAACCAAAATTTTCAATCACAATTTGGTTTAGTTTTGATTATAAAATTGTTAACTAATTAAAGAATTTGGTTAATCAAAAATATTTTGTTTTGATCACCAAATTAAACTAAACCAAATCTTATTAATGCATAACCCAATGTTAAGCAGACCCTGCTTCGCTGATTGTTAAAAAAATTTGGATTTCATCTGACATTGACTTATAATTGTTGAGTGGGAATTCTTAAAAAAAAAAGGGCAGCTTCGTCAAATACGATTTTTATGTTTTCTCATTTTCTGTCTTTCTATGTCTTATAAAGCAACATAAATTTAAATCTCCACTAACAAATTTAAATAACTCCTTATAGACACCTTCCTTTCGAAATAACTAATTTTTTTATTTTAAATTTATTTTAAATTAATAATTTTTTATTTTTAAAATAGAAATAATTATTTACTATAACTTTATCATTATTTATTAGGTTAATGTCATTAAAAATCTCCTAACTTTGCAAAAGGAATTATTGCTATCTCTTTACTTCAAAAAAATTTTTAAAAATCCCTCAACTTTAGAAAAGTGGCTATTATCATCCCTACAATTAAAGGACTTCATAACTCCATTCATTCTTCCGTTAAAATCCTCCAAAATTTAATGCTAAAATAATATTATTGGTCCCTTAAATTTTAGTTCTAGTACACTTTGATATTCAAACTTCATTTTTTCAATTTGGTCCCAATTTCAACTTTTCTTATTACATTGTAGTTCGCAAACCTTTTAAAGAGTTATACTTAAGTCTTAAAATTTCTAATTCCATGTATTTTAGTCCCTTTTTACACAAATAATAAAAATCATATAAAATCTAATAAAAAACATTTTGCTCATTCAAATATCAATAAAATTAAGAGTAAAATAGTAAATTAAAATGTATGAAATTCATCTAATTAGAGTGAAAAATCAAGTTTTTGATATCCAATTTAAGATCATTAAAAATAAAGAATTAACATTTAATACTTTGTATGCACATATAAAATAACTTACATTATAAAAAAAAAGGAAAAAAAGAAGAAGAAAAACAATATGATAAAAAAATGGGAAAAAAGAAGATATGTACTTTTTTTGGTTATGCACTCATAATTAAGGAAATATAACATAAACTTATCATTAGTCTGCAATGTTTCACAATGTTTACAGCACTACTTTTACCATACACTCAAAAGTCATATCCATATCCTTTGCAACTTCATCATTTTGATTGTAACACTTCATAAAATGCTTGATTGGGTATCAAAGACCTTTTAAAGACAAGTGATTATTAAACACTTGATTTTACACCTTAATAATATTAATTTTTATATATTGTAATTTATTACTTTAGGCTTAATTTGGTTGATATTTGAATAATATGCATGTGATTTCAATGGAAGTTACATAATGTTTATTATTTATGAAAAAAAGATTGGAATGCATAAAATTAGAAAATATATTTTTCTAACATATATTCGTAGGACACAGATTAGAAATGTATTAATTATATTTTTTTTGTAATAATATTTTTTAAAAAAATGTAAAAATAAATATTATTTTTAATACTAGTGCCATGTGGAAGATTTTAATTGAGTAATTAATAAGTTTAAAATCAATTTCTATTTTTCCTACACCAATTAATTAAAAAAGTATAATTAATATATTGTTAACTTGTGTCCAAAGAGTATAACTTAGAAAATCCTTAGAAAATTTGGGACATAAATGCAACTTTTTCAAAAGTTTGGGGATAAAATTGTAAGAAGAAAAGTTAGAATTCAGACTGAATTGAGTAAAATTGAAGTTTAAAGATCAAAGTGTATTGAAACTAAAATTCTAGGGACCAATAAAGTTATGTTATCAAAATTTTTGAGGATTTTAACGGAAGCATGAACAGAGTTATGAAGCCTAACAATGGAGGGATGATGATTGCCCCTTTTCTAAAGTTGAGGTATTTTTATTAATTTTTTCAAGGTAGAAGGATGACAATGCAAAACTGGGAGATTTTTAGGAACATTAAATCTTATCTATTTACTTTAATTATTTATCCAATAAAATTATAATATTATATGGTATTATAATTTTATAATATGATGTGTCATTATGTAATTAGTTCTTTTCATTTTAAAGTTTATTTATGATATTATATATATCTACTCATTTAATATCATATTATATTTATTTATTACCATATATATCATGATTATAAATTTATAATTATATATGGTATTATAACTATAACATTACCAATAACAAAAAGTCCCTGTTTATGTTTTGTTTCTTTTTTAAAGGTAATATTATAAATACATAATTACATTCAAACTATTAATTTGAGAAAAAAAAAGGAAAATAATAATTATTTTGGAAGAGATTGAGTAGTAAATTAGACAAGTTTGACAAGTAAATCTGCACTATAAAAGGTTGGTGTAAGTATGGTTCTGGCTCCTAAACTTTGTCCATTTATACCAAAATGGTCCCTAAACCTTTTTTTGTACCATTTTGGTCCTCAATGCTTAAATTTAGAACCAAAATATTCCTTTTTAAAATTCCGTTAACTCTGATGCATGCTAAATTTTCTTTTTGTATCTTTGGTCTCTCAACCTGCATTATATTGACACTTTAGTCTTTATACTTCACTCTAAATTTTGATTTTACTTCTAGTAAGTTTGTCACTCAACTTTAAAAAGCTGTGTAGTTCAATCCTAAATTTTTTATTTTTATGACTAAGTCCTTTTTTTTGTAAAAACATCACACGTCATGTAAAATCAAATAAAATTACATGCAACTCACTTAAAAACCATTAAAATCAAGGTTAAATAATACCATATCATGTGTGAAAATTCAATCTATTAAACTCAACAATAATTTATTAAATTTCACATGATGTAACAACTCTACTTGCCAACTTGAACAAGTGAATATTAAAATAAATTATAAAATTATCTTACAAATTAAAAATTATAAAATAGTTGAGTATCATTTACATTAATTAATCTTATTAAATGAAATTTATTTTTAACTAAATAATTTTTCTCTTTCCTCCCCTCCTTTAGCCTCTCTAGTCTGTTGCTCACTCTCTAGGCTCCCTCATCCATTGCATAATTCAAAATAAGTTTATATTTAAGCAGAAAACATTGTCATTCCTTCATCTATCAATTCTCCATCATCATTCTCATTCATTTCAACAAAAAAATTCAAAAATACTAAGGTAAAAAATGTAGCCTAGATCTAAGGCTCTTAAGAGAAAAAATTGAAATCAAAATCAAATTAAAAAAAAAAAAAAAACCTTCAACTTCCTAGTTGAAGTTCATCATTATATAACTTTTAATTCCTTTATTAATTCATTTATAATTAATGGTTTCCATTTGTTCGGGTTAGCAAATGATTGTTGGAGGAATTTGCACACTATTTAAAATTTAATAAATTTTTGCATAGATTGAATTCTCATGTTTAATATGGTGCTATTTAGCCTTGAATTTAATGGTATTTGAGTAGATTAAATGTGATTTTATTAGATTTTACATAACTTTTGTTGTTTTTGTAGAAATTAACAATTATAAGAAATAAAGAAATTTAGGGTTTGAATTAAAAAAGTTTTAAAAGTTTAGGGATTAAATTGCAAGAAGAAAAAATGAAATTAGGAACCAAACTGAAAAATAAGAAGTATTAAGACTAAAAGTGTCAATCTTATGTAAGTTTAGGGCCATAATTTCAAATTTTGATATTTGACACGAATCACAGTTGACTGAATTTTTAACTGAAGAACCATTTTGGAACCGAATTGAAGAATTGAGAGACCAGAATGGTATCGACGAAAAGTTGAGGGCTCATTTTGTATTAACCACAGGCAAATTGTAAAATGTTTCTCTATAAGGCAAAAGGCCTTTTTTGCAACTACCATTTTTCTTTATTGTAAATACCTTAAATTAATTTTAATCTCAATTAATACTTTTTATTATTTAAAAATTATAAAAGACTCTAAAATTAATAGTCAAATTCTATTTACACCTTAAATTTATGATCAAACTCTCTATTTATATCATGATTTTATTGATAATTTAAACTTTTTTTATAAATTTTAAATTATAGAAGAAATTAATCGGCACAAAAATTAGATTAGGAAAGAAAAAAATGTGTGGGGTGGAAACAGCGGTTCGACCTTTCTATAAGTAGGAGACTTTCATACTGAAAAGGGTTGCCTTTCTACTGCTTACCGGAGAGAATGGAGCATCCATACGTGCCGAGAGATCTGCAGCTGCTGGGCTTCGTGCCGGGATCCCTTCCCCACACCACCATCATCGGCGTCTACGGAGTTTCTTCTCTGCTCGTCGTCTCCCTCATCTGGATCCTTTCTGGTTCGCTCTCTATTTCGCATTTTCATTCCATTTGAATATCATTCGAATCAAATTTAGTGAGTGAAGCAAAATCATGTCCTGTTTCAGCATCTACTTTTCACTTTGTATCTGAAGTTCTGTTTACTTTATTGAATTGAATATCCACTGAATTCGAGGGGTCAAATAGTAGTAGGCATCATTTCTATTCGAATCTCCTATTTTTTAGCATTTTCTTTTTCCTGCAAGTTGCTTTCTCTTTGATTTTGACTTAAGCTTGAAAAGAAGCATAAGTATTCAAGTTTATAATCTCCACATATCCCTCTTGAATTGATATATCAATGAAATTTTTTGTCCTAAAAATTCGAACATCGCAAGAATTAGTTTATAAATTTGAAGCATTACAAGTTTACGACTGTCTTGAAGCTTTAAACAAGTCAGTAGCAACCAATGGCTTCCTTTTTTAAGTACCTTCTTGTCTTGACTTGTTTACAATTGGAATTAGAAACTGGGGATCCCACTGATAATGATCATCATATGCAAACTGTTACGGTCAGTCAAGTTCACATTTCATTTACAATTTTCTTGCTGTTGCCAGGTAGATCGAGCAGGTTATTGAAAATTGATAGGTGGCTCATGTGTTGGTGGGCTTTCACGGGACTCACTCACATGATTCTTGAAGGTTATTTTGTTTTCTCTCCTGAATTTTACAAGGACCAGACTGGCTTTTATCTGGCTGAAGTTTGTAAGTTCCATATCTGTTCACTTTATTTCCATCTATGATGATAGGAGCTAGAAAGTTTTAGGGTCTTAAGTGAATGATACTCATAAATGAAGTCGGCAGGGAAAGAATACAGCAAAGGTGACTCCAGATATGCTGGAAGAGATTCAGCTGTCATTGCTGTTGAAGGCATAACTGCTGTTCTTGAGGGTCCAGCTTGCCTTCTAGCAGTGTAAGTTTGAGTACTTTGACCTTGCAGATTTACATATAAAATCAAAATCTACATGTCTTTTCCTCCTTTGTGTTTTCCATTCTTCTAATTGTGAATGGTTTCAAATTGGTTGGCAGGTATGCTATAGCTAAAGGAAAGCCATACAGCCATATACTTCAGTTTGCCATTTCTCTGGGACAGCTCTATGGAACTGTCGTGTATTTTATAACTTCTATCTTGGATGGTGATAACTTTGCTGCTAGCTCATACTATTACTATGCATATTATGTTGTTGCAAATTCCTTCTGGGTTTTAATACCCTCACTCATTGCTCTACGGAGTTGGAAGAGGATTTGTGTAGCATCCCAGGGCCAAGATCAGAAAAAGACCAAATTTCGCTGAGATGGGCTGCAGAATATGTTCTGATTTGCATTGTCAGAATGTGCAATTTATCATGTCTTACAAACAACTCTTTCAACTCTTTTATTTAATTTTTATGGACTTGATTAGGTGATTTTCAAACAAGTTGGACTTTTCGGGTCAAAGAAAGTGATTTTATATCTTTAATCTTTCTCAAGAAATGAATGATGATTTGTATTTTGGATTGATCTGACTTAACAGGTTTAATTTATTATCATTTGGGTATCAATATCCTTTGATGGCATATGTTACATCTTCCATACTATAGAACCTCCCTCTGTGGATGATTATGCAAATTTTTTTTTTTTTGATAAGCGATGATTATGCAAAATTTGATTTATTTGTTGCGTCAATGAGCATGAGAAAAAAGAAACGCATGTAGTCATCGCTAGTGTGTGATAAATTCAGACTTTGGTTCCACGCTTCAATTGTTCTGGAGCTGCAATGCTGATGAACTCATTGACTGTGAAGCACTTTCTTTCTATTGTACAGATCATGCTCCTGTTACATTATTGTTTTAGGCATATGTTATGCCTCTGTCATTATAGAACCCCCCTAGGTAGATGATTATGCAAAATTTAATTTATGTGTTGAGTCATTGACCATAAGAAAAAACAAATGTATTCTATCATTGCTAGTGTCTGATAAATTCTGACTTTGGTTCCATGCTTCAATTGCTTTAAAGCTGCAATGTTGATGAACTCATTGACTGAAGCAGCTTCTTTCTGTTGTATGGATCATGCTGCTGTTACATTGTTGGTTTAGCAAGGCAAGGTCATGCTGCCCTTACAATATTGACTTCTATTGTGTTTGTTTGAAAGTTCAATCATTGCTCTCTCTCTCTCTCTCCCTCTGTTTCTCTCTCTCTCTCTCTTTTTTTTTTTTTTTTTTGTGGAGATAATTTATAATATGATTGGAAAATGGCATTTTATTTAATACTTTCTCTATCCATAACCGCACATATCTATGAACTGATTTGTAGTTTATGACAACCTCAACCAACACAAACTTGGCAAGTCAGCTAGTGCAATGTCAGAGTTCACAGTTTATCTAGTTGGGCCTTGTGATTATGAACTCTTTAATTTCAAATCCTGTTCAAAATCTACTTATGTGAATGTACGCTGAGTATGGGGCATTTTCACTTAGTTTGTGACATTTTATTAAGCCTGGACTACTATAACTTTCTGTTGAACATTGTGTTCTCATTATTTCTCTGATTTTTTTTTCTTTTTTTGGGGTGGAGGTCTTTTCTTTGGATTTGGTAACAGGTAGGAGAAGCCCAGGATCACATGGTACCTATCGCTTTCCTCCGTTTTGATTATAAATTAGAAAGATGGCATAGAGCTTTTGGTGAAAGCTCCCTTAGTGCGTATGTTGGTGACTGGTGACCCCAGCAAACAGCCAATGCGTGCATACTATACTTTCTTGACCTGGTCTTACCTTTTATGCTTTTATTTATTACTCTTTACCTTCTCTTCATTTTGCCTCTTGTCTGTGAGAAAGCTGGAATAGCAACTTATTTATAACATGGAGTGGAGCTCTTTAGAACTCAAACTTATTTCTTGCAGGGGTCTCAAAGCCTTCAACTTTTTCCAGAAGCTTTCGGTCTACTCTGTGGTCTATCTTGTGGATGAAGAACTGAAGAAGAAAGAGCAACAGCAAAAACGTTTGCAGCGTCAGAAAACACCCATCGACAGACAGGAAGGAGGGAACCCTGAATGGAATCACCTGGTACACTTTGATCTGAGAAGTTTATCTCACGACCACTGTGATAATCTTTTTCTCAGATTTGATTTGCGATGTGAAGGGTTGGTAAACAGATCTATTGGTGAAGTTTGTGTTCCATTGAAGGACCTGATAGATGAGTTCAGTGGGGCTGTGAGGTTTGTGAGTTATCAGGTTAGAAGCTGTGATGGGAAGGCCAATGGGGTCCTGAATTTTTCCTACAAGTTGATTGGGAGCACCAAAAAGCAAGTAGAGGACCATACCCAACTCCAATTTCCCGCTGAGAAAGTTCATTACCCCAAGCAGGAAGATGTCAAGAACTCAGGGGACATCCAGTATCCATCCGTGGATGACAGTTGCCATCCTCCCCCACAGCCGTTCAGTTTCCCTTCTTCATCCCCGGTGTTTGAGTTTCAGATACAAGGGTTTTATGGACCATCCCCGACTGAGCTGGCGCCTTACAGGGCAGCGCATGGAGCATACTCATCGTCACTTCTACAGTCTCCGAGTCCGTATTACTCCAGTATGCACGGCTACAATGGAATCGGAAAATCAGGGACTAGAACAGATGGCTTCCCACTCTGTCTTTGATGTGCTCAGGTCTCATATGAAATCAGCTATAGTAGTTTGCTTGTTTTCTAGTTTAGAAAAAAAAAGAAAAAAAGAAAAAAAGAAAAAAAGAATGCTGATTAACGCATCTGAGATTAATAGTTTCAATAAATTATCAGTTTCAGACTTTCAGTATATCAATTCTGTTGATCCAACATCATATTCAATATTCAATGCTAAGTCGAGTCAAGAGTCAGTTCTATACCCCACTATTGACTTGAATGGGATGTGGAGGTTCCATAATACAGGTTAGGGTCCCATTTAGGCCTCTGTTTTCAAACTTGCCATTGACAAACAATGTAAACCAGTGACGCAGAAATCTGACTTGCTCTTCTTTCATCAAATTCTGTTGAAATTTGATTTCAATGCAACGACCAGACAAAATTGGGGTTGTTGCCTTCTTGCACCAACTCTCAAGAAAGTGAATTTCCTAGAATGAATTTTTTATATTTTTTAATAATTTGTTATTTTCCAATCTATTATCTCTTGGAAGGGGAGGACTCCCAATATTGGGATTCGCCCTTACCCAAAGGTTTTTATTGTGTGTTCTGGTTTTTGATATTCTAATTTTTTTTTTCTAATATCAGAGAATTATAATCTTATTGCTAAGAGGAGGAAGCAGTACGGTATTTTGCCTTTAGGAATCGAACCCCTAGCATAGGCAGGTCCATACCACAAGGGCAAGGAGGAGAACCAGATGGTTTGCATTTTAATTTTTTATTGGATTTTTTTAGCATGTGTTCTAAGGTCAAGAATAAGTTCATTATATTATTTTTCATGAAAAATATAAAAAATCAATTTAATAAATAATCTATTAGTTGTAAACTTTTTTATCTATTTTGCTTATTAACTATTTTTCACAGCCAACTTGTCTATTAACTTACGAAAGTATATCACATTGGTCTACTTGTTAAAGTTTTACCATTGGGGGTAACGGAAACCTATGTTGGTGCCTATGTGGCACCAAATAAGCTGCAATGGTGGTGCCACATGGCCAACAATCAAGACTTAATTATTCAATAATTCACCTATTAAATATTAGTCTAATTTTATTTTAATTTAAAAAATTAGTTTGAAATGGACCTTTGGACTCAATGGTTAGTCCTCAAACGTTAATACTTAGATTTAGTTAGTTGGGAGTTCGATTCCCACCAATTATTTTAAAAAAATCCCTTATTCCCCAAAATTCCCCATATTCAAAAAAAAGTTTTGAAAATTAGTTTTCTTTTTAAATGATCTATAAACTTTGAAAAATATTTTAAAATAATTTATCTTATAATATTTTCATTAGTTTTGATAGAAAAAGGCAGAGTGGTCCTTTAAGTTTTGGAAAAATGATACTATAATTCTTATAAAATATAATGACTCAAGGAATGCTTTATAGAAATAGATTAATTAAAATTTGTATTGAACTTGAGCAACTAGTTAAATTCAAAGAGAGAAACTTAATAAGTTTGGAACGAGAAGTTTCAAGAGTAAGTTTTAAAGATACAATAAATATTAGAACTTATAACTATCAAATAAGAATGAAAAGAGAAAAATAAATAAATTAAGAAATATTGTTAGTATACTTCTATCAACATGAATAGTAATAAACAAGATTGGATTAACTTGTATCTACTAAATACTTTTGGTAATAATAAGATTAGTGCAAAAGATATATAAATAATACAAATAAGATTGTAGAAATAGAAACTATCAATGAAAACACTCTATAATAAATAAAAAAGATAGGGGAAACCCTTTCTATAAAATTTAAATCCATCAAAGAAAAAGCAAGATAATTTAAGAATTCTAGAGATCTTAATGATCTAAAAAGAGATATACAAACTACAAGAGACTTAGAAACTTTAATATCTCAACTCCAAGAAATAGAGACTAAAATAGAAAAAGCGCTAGAAATACTAAAATCAATTGTTGAAAAATTTGCCATTAAGATTTAAGAATGTATAGTAAGATAGTTCTACAACTTGAAAGTGATATAGACAAAACTTGTAGAAGATCCAAACTCAACTCAAGGATCAATAAGATACTATTAAAGCAATTTGTAGTTGAAGGCATGTTATAGATTGAAGTGAAGGACTTAAGATCATTTCAAAAATTTTCATAGAAAAACCTAGATCTAAAGGAATAACCCTCTACATGTTGAAAACACAAGAGGAGAAATTGGAGGAATTAGAACAAAGATCTTTACAAGAAGAAGATGCAAAAGAATTAGATAACTTGTACAAACAATTTACTATAGTTTCTAAACAATTGGAAAACATGAAAATAAATACACAGAGAGAAGGAAAAAGAATTGTTGAAACAAAAGAAGATAGTAAAAAAGAAAAAAAAAATGATAGGAGGCCTAATATAACTCCAACAAAATTTCCAATGTAATATGGAATAGAGACTAGTATTACTTAAGAATTTACAAAGAATAGAAATCAAAGGAATGAAGCATTGAATGACAAAAGATATCAAAGATTTGGAAATCAGACTAGACTTGAAACACCAGTTCAAGTCAAAGAATATATGATTAGCACCAATGATATTTGGCTAGAGATTGATTGTGTCATGGATATAGGAAGAACCATCAATGATTGGGTTCAATCCACATAGATAGCCATAACAAATAAAAGTTGGACCCCCCTTACAAGCCAATAAATTTATTTAGATTACCTTTAAAGGAATAGTCTATGATTGGTTTTTTGGATTAGTTGAAGAAGACAAGAACACCATTATAAGTGGAAATCGTACCATAGATGAAGTAGCTGAAAATGAAGCATTCCATGATTTATTAACCAAATATGAAGGAGCCATAAGAAAAGAGTTTCTAGGAGAAATTTAGGAAGAAAATCAAGAAAAAGAAGAGGCTGAATTCAGAAGATTGCAATATGGAATCTACAAAATTTAGAATTATGCAATCTTTGTGAACTAGATCAATATATTTGTTTATTTCAAAAATATTATTAGAAGGCTTCCAATCACAGAATGGCTAAGGTCCCAATAGAATTATTCTTTGGAAAGATCCATAATCCATTGGGAATGAAATTGTCTAAAGCATTTGAAACCTATGTAGAAGATAAAACAAATACATTAGAACAAAGGAATTAGTTTGCTAGAACTAAAATGAATAAATGATGTTTAGAGACTTATAGTTATAATAAGTCAAGAAAGAGTATGAAAAGGGGCTTATGTTGCCCTAAGAATAGTGATCCAATCAAGTTAGGATGTGGTTATTCAAACTTCAAGAGAAGAAATAAAAGGTTTAAAATTAAAAGAAGTTATAAACAAAAGTTTAACAAAAATAAATTTTCTGGAAAGATTAAGAAATCAAAAGCACCAAGAAAGTTCAAGAAAAATCCTAAGAAATGCACATGTTGATTATGCAAAAAAAAAGGATATTATGCAAATGAATGTCCTAAAAAGTACAATGAACAAAGTATTAAAAATCTAAAAATATATGAAGAAGAATTAAGTGAAATAGAAAGTAGCTCTATAGACAAAGAAGAAAGTTTATATAAAGTAGAAAAACTTAAAAGCCACTAGTAGCGATGAATTTGACTAGTAGAGAAGGAAGAGCTTATTTTGAAGAGTGTGAAGGATATGGAGAATATAGCCAAGTGATTGTATTCAACAAAAATAAATACAAAAGAATTAGACAAAAGGAAATGGTCCTAGCCTTAGAAAAAGGATTTAGGCTTAATTCATTTATTAGTAATCCTTTTAAAAGAAAAGACATAGTATATTATAGGATATCTACTAAAGAATATAGTATTCTCATAAGAAATACCACATGAATAATAAATATACCTTTGCTTATCAAGGCAAAAATAGAAAATAAACTATCTAAAATCAAAGAGTCAAATAAATCAAAGACAAGATTTATCTATATTAAGGAATTTAAATTTAAAGTTCATCTAAGAAAAAAGAGCTCTCAGCTTCAAAGTTCTACTTTGGACCTTTGATCGTATAATAGATATAAAGAAGACATGGTCTTATAGCTTTACCAATGAAATCTCTATGGTATCCACAAGAGCAAAATTAATGACAAGCATCAGCCTATTCAAGATAAAGTAGAAAAGAAAAGAAATTTTTGAAATTTGGTCTTAGCCACTAAAGCAATCCACAACTCAATTTGCAAGCTATTAAAGTATGACAATAATTGTGGTTTTTACTACAAAAAGGAATCATAAAAACGAAAAGTTCTAGCAGCGTGTGACAAAGGGTCCACTCCTTCAAACAATGAAGATGATCTATTATCCTCTAAAGAATCTAAGGTAAAAAGACATATTCTTATGTCACTAGAAAGAATCAAACAAGAAGAGAAGCATCAACCATGACATCACAAGATTCTTTAAAGATAAGATCTAATTCGCTTTATTAAAAGTAGGAGATAAGTTTGAATCACCAAATAATAATGTAAACTTTACTTGTAAATAATGACGTAATAAAATATTCTAAGGAGCATTATAAAAGGCCTCCAATAAGTTGGGATAGGTATCAAGCATTTAAAAACCCAAATGCATTACATGAGTTCTCTTCAACGTGCCATTGTAAACACCCCTCCAAGAGGAATGGGAACTTTCTCTCTCCCTTCTCAAAAATAAAAGCATGTTTTAGAATAATTCTTGTGTTTCTATCATTCCTTATTTCCATCATGGAATAACAAAAGAGAGTCCTCAAAAGAAATCTGGGTAGTAATGAGGTCACTTGGTAGTAGTGAGGTCACTTGTCTTGTCTAGATACCATTGTAGTTGGAGTGTAGCATTGAGAGTTGGACAAAAGAAGCTTCAGCTTGACCAAAAGCTAGACTAGAGGATTTTCAAGTATAACTTAGTTTATTTTTTCATGCAAAAGCAAGGTGGGCATAAAACTAGTTTTATTATTCTTTAACATTAAATTTATTTTTAAGAAAAGAAATGATAGGGAAAAAGTATTTGACCTCTTATTTCCTTATAGAAGAAAGTCTTTTTTTTATTGAGCTTAACATACTGGCTGCATATTAATTTGTAGTTTGAAATAAGTTTTAACAAAACTTCCAAAAATTTGGCATCAGAGCCATAAAACAAAGTTGTTAAAAATGGAATTAAGAAGATTAATAAGATTTTATAATCAACAAATTGATATTGTAATAAAGATGATAGTGGAAGAAGAAATGATATCTCATAAAATGATGGGTTACTATTAGATAGATATGTTTATAATGTTTGTGGAGCATCAACTCTAGAAGAATTAAAAAATTTAGAAAAATAAGAATAAAAGCCATTTTTATA